GATGGACAATATCAAGTCCCACCCTACTTTTTTTTCCTCATATGAGAAGCCGTTTTACTCACATATGCATAACAATAGGGGGAAAAAGACGATTGCAATTTCCATTTTATGACAACTTTAAAATTAAATAAATGTACGTGAGGGTGTGTTATATTTTAATCATTGACACATTTAAAGACCACTGTTAGACCCGCAAGGGTAATTTGAATTTCCCATGGGAATTTATCATTTCAATTTGAGGAATAAGGCCTGTTATTGTTACTTGAAAACATGTTCAAGTTACATAAATCATAAACACTCATACTTCAAACACTTCTGTGTGTAAGCTGCTAAAATAGAACTTACGTAAATATAAAAAAATAACACATGAAATTCTCTTGAAGTAATGCATTTCCTCACAAACTGTAAACTGCCATTCTAAAACCTATTGGATATTTCTGAGAGAACACATGGCTTGAAACTGCTAATTATATATATATATAATTAATTAATTTAGATGAAACACTCCAATATTCCATATAAAATTAAGCATTGTTGGCATTTGTGATTGTTTTCAAACAGGTTTCCCTGCTCACTCCCCACTCTGCCATTGGTCAGCCAAATAGACAGCCCCTCCCCAAATGCACACCACTGATTGAGCAAATTATATTTTACCACAGTGTTAACACTTTTCAGGTAAAAGCAAGAGTCTCTGCCTAGCAAGTCGTGATAGAAGGAATTTACATTTAAACACAAACTTCATTCAAAGCATCTCTAGTTGTTCACACAACTAACACAAACTCAGGCACATCAATAAATGCTGACAAAAGACAAAACTTTACTTACTTTATCCTTAGCAACGCTCTTTTCCAGGTCACCATTTAAGCAGGGTGTCTCCACATCACCCACACGCTCGTCCTCTGGGCTTTCACATCCCTCGCTCCTCACCGAGTCAGAAAGACTGGTGACAGGGTGAGCGGCGTGCAGGTGCTGGCTGAGGCATTTAACCTCTTGCGCTTTATAACCACAAATCCGGCACTCGTAAGCGTCCTTAACCGTCATCTTCCCGGCATCTCCTCCAGACTTTTCCGCTGGGTCTGGAGGTGAAGAGTGCGTACTTGTGTTCTCGAGCTGCGGAGCTGCGCACTGCTCCATGGCAACTTATGCACGACCGAGCCAAGACGCAATTCATACAAGCGAAAACAGAGGCTACACAGCTAATTTTCTCCCGCAACAAAGTCGGTGTGCAATACCCTCGAGTATGTAACGAGTTTAATTCGAATAAAATAGTTGTATACGGAGTCAACATGCAGGAATTGAAGGCTAAGTCCTAATTTATGGCCACACTGGTCTGAATATGGAACAAAGGCGTGCTAGCCAGCGAGCTAACACAAAATCTTGTCGTGCTAGCTTCACACAGATGCATAAAAAGTAAAAATTGACAGCTCAGATGCAACCCGGCTTATTTATTGTTTTTCTGATATAGTTACTTGAGAAATAAGGCAATTAAAAGCGTCAATCCCTGCTGATCGCACTCGCCTTCGGGTACTAGCACACTAGCCCAGAAAGCTGTCACAGGTTTGGTTTGTCGCATCCTCCGAATGTGAAGCTAGAGCGGCTTCAAAATAAAGGTTCATTGACAGCCGCTCTCTTTTCTGTTTAAGAAGTTTTTGCGAGGGTAAAATAGCTTTACTTTAACAAAACACTAGTAATTGTATATGCATACACATTTGCGCACATACAGACACACACACACACAAAATACTGAAGATGAATTAAGAACTGTCTATATAACTGGCTTGTATAAGACCAATACTTTCAGGGATGCCCTCATTTAGAAAAACTATTAACAAATAAATGTAATGTTTGGTTTTAGATTAGAGGTTAGTCTAGCATTTATAATTTGCTTCATATGAAAACAAATGATATGTGTAAGTGTGACTGGGTATTTTACATTAAATTTGTTACACGTTTGATTTGTTACTGAATGGCATGCATTTTGTTTTATTACAGAGGGGCAATTCTCTCTCTCTCGCAGACAAAATGTGACCCTGGACCACAAAACCAGTCATAAGGGTCGATTTTTGAAATTGAGATTATACATCATCAGAAAGCTGAATAAATAAGCTTTCCATTGATGTATGGCATAAAAGAAGAATAGTTAATTTTAACCCATACAATGTATTTTTGGCTATTGCTACAAATATACCCGTGCTACTTACGACTGGTTTTGTGCTCCAGGGTCACAAATATAGTTCAATTAGTACTGGTATAGTAAGTACATCAAAGCAGAACAAAAATGAGAGAACTTGCTGAGAACTTGAAGGAAGAGTTGGAGTTGATGATAAGTAGCCTACTGTTACATTCAAGTTAAAAAAATTTAATTTAATATTCATTTAATTTTATCACAGCCTTATGTTTCACATGGGCCAAAGAGGATTAATTAAGTAGTTATTTAACTTTGTTAATGATAAACTCAGAAATTAGTCATGAGGAAGTGTGGATCAAATAAAAATGTGGCTATAGTAGATGTGTTGTCCATAGTAAAAGAATAAAGATGAACCATCATAAACATCTCTGGATCTTAGCAAACATCATTCCATTAGTAAAACATTAACACGTACCATAAAAATGACCAAAGGTCAGTTGCTGTGTATACAAAGAAAGTATTAGAGGGTTTCACCTTACAGACTCATCATAGCGAGGACAGAGAAAGAGATCATAGAACATTTGAAGAGAAAACAAGAAAATCATGTCGGCCACGCCTGAAGTTCCCAAGGAACACTTTGTGAGCTGTGATTTATGTGTGGAGGTGAAAACCCCAGCGCTGAAGACCTGCTTAAAGTGTGAAATCTCTATGTGTGCTCAGCACCTGCAGACCCACCTGACCACTCCAGTGCTGCTGCAAACCCATTCACTGACTAATCCTGTAAAATAAGGTTCCTCCAAAAGGCCAGCAAATGCTCAGCTCACGGCAAGCTTGTGGAATACTTCTGCCTGGATGATCACGTGCTGGTGTGCATGTCTTGTGCTATCGAGGAAGGACATCGGCTGCATAACATGAAGACGCTTCAGACTGCCCGTGGAGCTGGCAGGTCAACTGAAAGAAGACTTAAAAGCACTGGCTCAGAGGCAGACCCAGGCTAAACAGCTGGAAAAGTGGCACAAATACCAAATGCAGGCTCTGGAGAACTGTGTTGGTCAGCTGATGGAGACTGGATCAGCCCTGAAGGATCTGGTCTTCACGTGTTTACAGACTTCAGTATCAGCCAGACTGGGCGCTCTTCAGACTGCCCAGCGAGCTATCAGTTTGGCTCTAGAGGAAGATGATGATTTCAGCTTCTTGCAGAAATTTGCCAGTGTACACGAAGCTATAATGGAGACTCGCACAGTGGATCTGAAACAGGGCTTGGAGTCAGGACCTGATCGCACTAAATTAATTAATGAGATCCGAAAGCATGGAGAAATTATTGAGGAGGTTTCTTGCTTTTGCTGATCCTAAATTCCACTCAGTTGTTCAGGATGATCAAAATCCAGTCTCAGAACTAACCTTTGACCCACAGACCCTAGGGCCTGAGATGACTCTGTCTAAAAACCTTAAAACGGTATTCTACAGCTTCTCTGCCAGAAACCCTACCCAAGCTTCTGCAGGCCCGTACAAAACACAGACTCTTCGTTGCCTGCAAACAAATAAAGGTGTCAATCTGCGCTGGTTCCTCAAGCTCTCTGAGCATTTTGACTGGACCGTTGGCCTTTGTGATACCAGAGCCGTATTGACCTCGTTCCCTTTTTCTGAGTTGGTTAGACCCCGGTTCCTTGGGCTCCACTCAACTAGTGTGTCTCTGTCGACACACTCTGGAAGAATTGCTCCCCTCACCAGTGAGGGTTATTGTGAGTATGGTGCTTTCTTTTGAGCGTTAATCCTCTCTGAGGAGTTGGATTCCTCGCTCCATGGGCTGTCCTTGTGGAAATACTCTGTGTACTCAAACAATAATCAGATAATAATAATCAGAAAGTAAAATGGCAAAAGTGTCATTAATTTAATTTGTTTTTTGTTAATTGTTTTTCAGCTGTTTTATTCATTATGAAGAATATTTTTTAGTTTAATACCTTTTCTATTTGTTAATGTTTTCTTGCAGTAACCTGTTTCTTGTTGTGTGTTAAAATAATTTGCCATTTAAAGCTGGAAGAGCTTTAAGGAATTTAATCTTATTTTTAAGGAAGTTATCATGTAGGGTGTATAATTAATAGTTGAGTTTATTTATAGCATATATCAAAAACATAATTATATTCTTGTCAAAATGCATACTAAATCCTAATTTTCTATTTTCTCTTAAAAAATGTATCTAATTGTGATAAAGGAGGTGATGAGTCAATTATTACAACTGAAATATGCAATTATGAGCTAATTTTTTGCTTCTTTTTTATTAGCCTGGACTTCTCGTCATCCACTTTCTGGATGAAGAATCTCTTTCTTAAAATTATATATTCAGAGATATTATGCAATGTATTTCCATCTTACATATGATTTTATCATTAGACAATATGTAGTACTGTAGGGAGATGTGTATAAAGTCACCTGAAAAATCCTCATATGCATAGTGGAAGAGAATTCTAACAATTTTCAAACTTTATATACAAGTTATACAGCATTTTCACAACAGATTATACTTATTAGTTGAAAAACAATAAAAACATCACAGTGATTGTATGCACTCTACATGCTTACAAAGAGTTACATAATTTAAGAGGCAGTGTTGAAAACAAGATGTCAGCAATTGCTGAAAATAAAATTGAATGAAAACTGATTTAAATTTTACCAATCTACAACACATGCTACATCTTACTAGACAATGCATATACTGATCTTTTCTTTGCAAAGTCTGTAGTAAATTCACATGGGTTTAATTCAGTGAACGCAAGACCTGAAAAAATTTACCTTGAATGCAATGTTTTTGATCAATTTAATATAATATAATACAATTATTTTTAATTTTATATTTATTTATTAGTAAGTTCATTCACTCATTGAAATTAACAGATGAGATGATCAGTGGGGCAGAGTATTTGCTTTTAATGTTTGTACATGGGTTTAAGATCGGATAGAGATCCTCAGTGAACCACTGATCGGAGAAAGAGTAGATATGAGACCTGGACTCCACATCAGAAAAAGAGACCAAGCCTTCCTCATAATCCACAAACACACCCAACTTCTGAGGCTTGACTTTCAGGGAGAGAGAGACAGTGGGTCCAGCACAGGCACTATACTGGTTCCCATTTCTCAACCGCACTGTCCAGTAACCATTCTGAGGACTCAGTGTGATCTTCCCCTTTCTGGTAATGGATTTTCTGGCCACTCCTACATCCCAATTAGTCTTCCCCTTCACCTGCACCTCAAAATAAAACCTTCCAGAGGAGAATCCCTGCTTTCCCAGGACATTCCCACATTTATCAAACCTCTCAGGGTTGTCTGGGACATTCTGTTTTTTTTCTCCACGTCGCACTTGTTTCCCATCTTCAGACAAGATGAGACACTTATGAGCTGTATCTGGATCCAGTGTCACATCCGCTAATGAAAATTAAAAAATCATTATAATTACTTGCATAATGAGAGCTGATTCAAGACTACTGATGCCAATGGATTAAAAAATTATAAATTTTCCCATTCTTACTAACCTGCATATTTCATTGTCTTTGTGAACTCTAAAAAGACATGTTTAAAATGTTTTTAAATGTGTTTAAAATAAATTTGGTCCAACACAAAAATTCCACAAATCACATTAAGATTACAATGCATTTTTTTTATTCATAATGAAATGAATCATTATAGTCACAATTTCGGGCACAATTAATGTAACATAAGCAACAGTAAATTCGAAGAATATACCACACATTTAGATATTATATTGAATTGATTTGTTTTTGGAATAATCAGGACCTATTCAAAACATAAGCTCACCTTTTTGAATCCTCCTCAAATAGCGAACTGAAGAAATGTAGAAATATGAATAAGATAAATAAACATTATAATTTTGCAACCATTTCTTTCCGTTCAGATGCGACTACAAAATTAAGACTTTTTAAAGGCTAGTTATTTTGCATCTACTGTATATGAATTAGTGAAAAATGGACATCACCTCTTCTTATGTAAACAAAAGTAGCAACTGCAACTGCAGTAATGATGCTGAGAACAACTGTTATTGACATGCAAATGACTGATGTTCTCCAGATGTGAAATATTTTACCTGTAATGAAAACCTGATTCAATTATACACTCTCGAAAAAAGTACAAATCTGTCACTGGGGCGGTACTCTACGGCAGTGTTTCCCAACCTTCTTTTTAGTCGCGGCACCCTTTGGAAATTTTAACAAACTTGTGGCACCCTACAAAATAAATTGTCACAATATCTGAATTTCTAACTTTTTTTTTTTTTTTCTAACAGAGTTGCCCATATACCACACCATGTTACAACACAGTAGGGCTATTGCAGACAGAAACAATACTGTACTACATCCATGTTTCCCGTCGGCTCGATTTTTGAGTGGACTTTGCCATTCCGATTCGCATGAGCGGTATACGAGTGGAGCGACTGAACGGGAGCGCACACGTGTAGAGCGGGATAATACGTGGAGCGTCACACCACGTGAAAGTGAAACCTGAGCGGTGAGCTAATTTTCGGCAGCCGAAATTTCGGTGCATCTCTAATTATTGGCGACATCAGAAATGGATATTATATAATAGATGCTTTTTTGAAAATTTTTGCAATTTAAAAAATATTAAAAAAAGGAGTGTTTTCCCAACCGGAAACACTGCTCTACGGTATAAAAGCTAAAAAAAGGTACATCTTTGTACCTTATTTACCCATTATTGGGTACATATTTGTACCTAAAATGATATATTAGTACTTTAAAAGCACATACTAGTACCTTTTGAAAGGGTGCTGTCCTAGTGGCAGTACAGGTGCATCTCAATAAATTAGAATGTCGTGGAAAAGTTCATTTATTTTTTTATTTAACTCAAATTGTGAAACTTGTGTATGAAATAAATTCAATGCACACAGACTGAAGTAGTTTAAGTCTTTGGTTCTTTTAATTGTGATGATTTTGGCTCACATTTAACAAGATCGGTGTGGAATAAAGGTAAATTATGTGAAAAATAATAAAAAAAAAAGATAAAAAACGAAGCATGAACATGTTAGACTGCATCCCATAAACACAATCAAGCCTAGAAAAAAACCCAGTGAACCACCCCTTTAAACTACTTCAGTCTGTGTGCATAGAATGTATTTAATACATGAGTTTCACAATTTGAGTTGAATTACTGATGCGTCTCAATTGGGCTCAAATTGATAAGCAATATAGAGGACGTCATTGTTTACAATACAACTGAAGCACATTCTGAGCTTGAGGGGCGGGATGTTCAGAAGCGCTGTAGATGCGGTTTAGCCAATCACAACACACTGAGCCAGCTGACCAATCTCAGCCCATCGCGTATTTCTGAGGGAGGGGCTTCATAAAAACAGGAAATAATCGAGGCGTTTGTTAGAGAAGGGACAGATCGGTGTGGAATAAAGGTAAATTATGTGAAAAATAATTAAAAAAAAGATAAAAAACGAAGCATAAACACATGTTAGACTGCATCCCATAAACACAATCAAGCCTAGAAAAAAACCCAGTGAACCACCCCTTTAAACTACTTCAGTCTGTGTGCATAGAATGTATTTAATACATGAGTTTCACAATTTGAGTTGAATTACTGAAATAAATGAACTTTTCCACGACATTCTAATTTATTGAGATGCACCTGTATACTTATTATATATGCAAATTATAAACATGAATTTAGGCATTTTCTGTACAATAAATGTGCAAATCTGTGATTAAATCGTAATGAATTCTGAATCATTATGACTGCATCACATTACCTTGGAAATTTGAGAAAGACAAACCCAATTCATACTTACTTGAGACAATAATGTCAGTTTGCACCATATGATGTCTCAGTTTGACTCTACACTGACTCATGCACAGTGATCCTGTGTTTCACGCTGTAGCCCTTCGCATCTTTATGTGTCTCTTCATTATCAGAAGTCAAATTCTCTCCTTTACTGTCCAGCCACTGAAGCTCAGGTTTAGGG